TTCTCTTCCAATTTGATATATGAAAAACTGTATCTCATTATTGCATTCTTTTTTTTTTTTTTAAAGATTGGCACCTGAGCTAACAACTGTTGCCAATCTTTTTTTTTTTTTTCTGCTTTATCTCCCCCAAATCCCCCCTGGTACATAGTAGTATATCTTAGTTGTGGGTTCTTCTAGCTGTGCAATTGCATTCCTTGATTACTAGTGATGACAAACATTTTTTATGCCTATTTGCCAGTGTGTGTGTATATGAATTGTCTATTCATACCTACTGACTACTCTCAATTGGAGTTGGTGTTTTCTTGTCATAGATTTGTTTAGAGCCCTTTATATATTAAGAAAACCTTGTGCATGTCATCTGTACTGCAATTGTTATTCACAGTTTGTAATTTGCTTTTAATATTTGTTTATAATTTTTTTGTTGTCTAAATGCTTAAATTTCAATGTGATCCAATATGATGTTTCCTTTGACATCATTTTGTATTGCTTTTATGTTTAGAAATCCAGCCCTCCTCCCATGTTAGTTGGTAATACACAATTTATCATTAATAATTGAGTTTTTATATATTCTAAGGTCTATTTTGAGATTCACTAAAAGATTCCATTTTTGCATCAGTACAACGTTTTCGTTATTCTAGCTTTATGTTTTAACATTTGATAGCTTTTCTCTTTCAAAATTTCTTAAAATTTTTGAATGCTTGTTCTTTCAGTGTATTTTAACATCATGTCGTCAAGTTCCCACATATGAAAAATCCTTTTAGTTAGGTTCAGATTAAACCTATAAATTAATTCTGTTTTAAGAACATAGAATATTTCTTCATTTATTACAATTTATTTTTAGAGTTTTGCAGTTTATTTTTATTTTTGTGGTTGTTTTCATATAGGCCGATACATTTCTTGCTAGGATTATTTCTACATTTTTTAATATTTTTGTATTGTAAGTGGGCTTGTTCCTTCCACTATATTCTCTAACTTATTGCTGACATAAGGGACATTTACAGATTTCTGGATATTTTATATTTGACAACTCTGAAAGGCTTTCTTAGGAATTCCAAAAGGTTTATGGTTGAGTCAGTTGGGTTATCTAAGTACTTAATCAGATCTTCTGGAAATAACATTAATCTTTCTCAAATAATTATCTCTCATTTCACGGATATTGTCAGTTGCTGGAAATGTGTGGAAAATGCAACGTCTAAAGCAATGTCTACTTCCCTGTTCTCTCCACTCCTGTAACAGAAGAGCTGAGGATGAGTTTAAGGTGGGGTTGGGGTGAGCAATGGATCTTATCTGAGAACAGGCAGAGGATGCCTCGGGGCTAAAGATAACACTTTCTGCAGCCCTGAGTGCTGGCTCCTGATTTACTGTGGTTGGTGATCTGCCACCTTCCTTCTTTCTCTTCCCTCCACCTGAGCCCTGCCCATTCCTCTCCCTCCTCCCTCGATGAGGTTATGGCAGTGGCCACAGCCTCTGCACCCAGGAGAGAAGTTGTAACATGCTTCTTGCTCCAGTCGGAGCCTGTTCATCTTTGGCAGAAGATCAGACCTTGGATCAGCTGCAAAGGCCCTTTAGTGCACCTGCCCTGATGAAATTCTTCCCCTCTCTCTGTCTTGCCTGCTCCCACCTTCCTCTGAGCCACCAGCAACTCTCACTTTGACTCCTATAATAGCTCCCTAAATGGCTCCCTCCAATCTGCTCTCCTCACAGGGTAACATTTTAAAAACCAAAATCAGAAAGCACTCCCTTATTAAAACCTTCAGTGGCTCCCCACAGCACTTAGAATAAAACACTAACTCCTGAATGTGGCCCCGTGTGATTGGTCCCTTTCTATCTTCTCCTTGTTCTCTGGGCTCCCACCATTCTGCCTTCCTTTCTGTCCCTAGAATGCACCAAGAGCATTTTCACCTGAGGGCCTTTGGACTTGCTACTCCTTCTTCCTAGAACATTCTTCCTCCAGCCCTTGGCACGTGTTCATCTCCTCTTTATTCAGGCCTCATATCCAATTTCCATATCTCCATCTTTTCTGCTCTCAGAGCATCCTGTTTGTGTTCTTCATGGCATTTACCACAATTTGTAATGGTCTTGTTTGTTTGCTTACTTATTTGCAGTGTGTTTGACACCTTGAATGTTAACTCTCCGATGGCAGGAAATCTTGTTGCGTTTATGTCTGAATACCTGGAATCTAGAACTGTGGCGTAGAAGGCACTTGAAGAACACTGTGGAAAATGGAGTCTGCTACAGGGCTTGCATGCACTTTGGAAAGCAATCCCATGTAAGAGGAGCAGGCTTGGGGAAGTAAAACAGTGAGGAAGGAAAGCCAATACAAATGTCTGTTCTCAAGTGGCTGCTGTGGTGGACCATTCCAGACAGCGGATTATGGTGATGGGCATCTTCTGTGGAATCATGATGAATGTGTCCAGAACTGTCCATTTAAGGGACAAAAGAAGAGGGTATCTACCCCCAGATTCTATTGCAGCTCTGGTCAAGGGCTCACATTTCCATGGGTACATACAGGACCAGCTGTATAATTTGTGAGGCCTAGTGCAAAATGAATTACAGATCCTTGTTCAAAAAGTATTAAGAAATTCAAGACAGTGATAGCATAGCCTTAAATTGAGCCTAGGACCCTTCTGAGCACAGGGCTCTGTGCCACTGCACAGGTCTTGTCGCCAAGCCCCATGCCCTAGGTGTACGCCTGGGTGCTAAGCAGATTCCTGCAGGCATCCCACTGATGTCAGAGTATCAGAGAAGCTCCAGAGCAGAAAAGCTAGAGTGATGAGGTGGAGGTGAAGCTGAAGCCGGGTGCTGTCAGGTTGCTCAGCAGTGGCTGGAGCAAAACGTGGGCTGAGATGATGTCAGGCTTGGCCACTAGAGGTATCAGATACCAAAAGAATAAATGACTTTAGTGTTGCTACTGCTCATTGAAATAAGGCTAGGGGCCAGCCTGGTGGAGCAGTGGTTAAGTTGGCGTGCTCTGCTTCGGCAGCCCGAGGTTCACGGGTTCACACCTACATACCGCTCATCGAGCCATGCTGTGATGGCATCCCACATAGAAAATAGAGGAAGATTGGCACAGATGTTAGCTCAAGGACAATCTTCCTCAAGCAAAAAGAGGAAGATTGGCAACAGATGTTAGCTCAGGCCAATCTTCCTCACCTCCCCACCCCCCAAAAAAAAAGAAAAGAAAAGAAAGAAATATGCCTAAAATTCCAGAAAACCTAAATGGGAATTTTGAGAGTAATTATTCTCATATTTTTCATGTTAGTGGATATCTCTCTTTTGCTTCACCATAAAATATGATAGTGGTATTGGTTTAAATGAGGCTATATTTATTATGTGAGAAAACACCCTATTCCTAGTATTCTGTAAATTAATTATTAAAATACTAAATAATAGGGGCTGTCCCGATGTTGCAGTGGTTAAGTGCGCATGTTCTGCTTCGGTGGCCCGGGGTTCGCCAGTTTGGATCCCGGGTGCAGACATGGCACTGCTTGGCAAGCCATGCTGTGGCAGGCATTCCACATATAAAGCAGAGGAAGATGGGCACGGATGTTAGCTCAGGGCCAGTCTTCCTCAGCAAAAAGAGGAGGATTGGTGGCAGATATTAGCTCAGGGCTGATCTTCCTCAAAAAAAAAAATTAAATAATAAAATAGTTTTATTTTATTCTGTTCTGGTTATGTATTGCTATGTCACAAAGGACCCTGAAATTTAGTAGCTTAAAACAGCTACCTTTTATTTTAGGTCATGATTTCGTAGTTCAGGAATTTGGACAGGGCTTGGCCAGGTATTTCTTCTCCGTGTAGTGTCAACTGAGTCACTTGGTAGCACTCAACTATTGGGTAGGCTGGTCTGGAGGGCCCAGGATGGCTTTGCTTACATGGCTGGCATCTCAGTAGGGTTGGCTAGAAGTCTAGGCTCAGCAGGGACTGTCAACCAGGGCACCTACAGATGTCCTCTCTAGCACGATGGTCTCAGGGTAGTTAGATGTCTTACTTGGTGACTCAGGGCTCTAGAGAGAATGTTTAAAGGGTCCCAGGAGGAAGCTGCAAGACTTCTTGTGACCTAGCCCCAGAAATCATAGAATGTCACTTTTGCTGCATTCTATTTGTCAGGCAAGTCTCTAAGGCCAGCCTGGATTCAAAAGGAAGAGAATAAACTGATCTTCTCAATGGAAGGAATAGCAAAGAATTTGTAGCCATCTTTAATTTACCATGCTCCCGTTAAAGTTTCTTAGAAACCACATAGCAGGACAACTGATCCCTTCGGTATGAAACTAGTAGTATGTTCAGTTAGAGTTGCCAGATAAAACACAAGTATTGCATGAGATATATTTACCCTAAAACACTATTCGTTGTTTATCTGAAATTCAAATGTAAACTGGGCATCTTTTCTTCTTTTCTAAATCTGGCAATCCTGTCTCCATTATTCCTAAGTATATCGCATATGTAACAAAGTACACAGTATATATGTTAGCATATCCTCAGCACAGCCAAGGGAGATGAGCTGAAGATCAGATCAAAGTGAGAATGGGTCTGTCATATAAAGCAATCCCAAGGAGCAAACTACATGGGAAGAAGGGCTGGTTTACTCTTCTGATCAACAGAGAATTAGCTAGAAGCCTTTCTGGTTTTAAACCTAGTTTCTGCAAGTTGTCTAAAGTGTAGGAAAGACAACATGCAGCAGGAGTAAAGGCCCAGGCTCTGAAGTTAAACACGTCTGGACTTAAGTGCCTGCCCTCCCCAATCAGTTGTGTGATCTTGGGAAGAAAGTTGACTCTTCTGAATGCTGTCGCCTTATTGATAAAAGAAGGGTAATGATAGTTGCAGGGTTGTTGTAAGTTTCAAATGAGTGCCTGGAAAGTATGAGCACCTAGCATGGTGCACACACTGGTGCTCAACAAAGTTACCTGTTATTATTTTAAATCCTAACAAGTAGAATAGGCTGAATATAATTAATTTTTTGATATTACTGAAATTTGGATGAAAGTCTACTCATGCAAGACATATAGTTACAGTTTATTTTTTAAAAATTCTCAGTATTTTTATATAGTTAGGCACATATATCAACAAATAATTATCAGCTTCATTCATTTACATACACATTATAGACAGAAAAGGTGGTTAATGGTTCCAGTTAGTTCACCTTGAAGTAAATGAGAGAATATTCAATCTTTAGAAAAATCCCTCCACAGTACGATTATCTGATTGTAGAACATTTTGGATGACTTATTAAAGTGGTATTATTATTTAATAGACATGTTGCTCATGTGGCTATGACTAGCCCTCAAACTCTAAACACCTACTTAGCCTCAAAAACCCTAAGGTGACTACTTTTTATTGCTTACAAGAAGAGAAGAGATTTAATCTTTTGATTTTCATTCTTCTGTGTTCTATCCCCTAGTAAGTAAAACCAGTCTGCTTTGAATATCAACTGGTCAGCACAGGGACCACTCAAGCCGTTGTTCCTCAAGGATTAAAAAAGTGAGCACACTAACCAAACAAATTTGTAGTACTGTGGGCTACATATAAGTTTATGTAGTTTATGCATTAGCATAATTTTCTCAGGCATCCTAGAGAGCAGCTCTGTCCAGTGGAACTTTCTGAGAGGATGAGAGTGTTCCAGGTCTATGCTGTCTGACATGGTAACCAACATGTACACGTGACTATTGAGCCCTTGAAATGTGAGGAACTGTATTTTAAATTTCACTTAAGTTTAATTCATTTAAACTTAAACTGCCACATGTAGCTAGAGGCTCCTGTATTGCATAGTGCAGCTGTTGATAGTAAATAACATTTGGACACTCTACCGACATTAAACTTCATCCAAAGTTCACTTCTGTTCAATCTCTTTGTGAGTTTCACTAACTCAGTAAGTTATTTCAAGCTTGCTTAAGGTTAAGGCAATAGATTCCAGATCCAGGACAAGAAGTTCCATTTCCCTATCTTGCACTCAAAGTGACATGGCTAATTGATCATGGAATTTTTTTTCCCTCTGAGTTTAGAAGTAGTTTTACAATCTTTCTCATAGTTAGGCTCTGGAAAGCCAACAGTCATTAAGAGGAGTTAACAATAAGCTAATATTTATCGAGGGCTAACTATGTGCTAAGCATTTTATCAAGCGTCACCTCAGAATTCAATCCTAGTTATTCCAACCACACAGATCTGCATCCTCTTCTTTGTGTCAGGAGCCAAGATATTCTTCCACCGTGGTTGGATATCAGCTTGCTCAGCCGCTTCCGCAGGGCAGTCCAGTCAGTCACTCAGGGGACAAAGGAGCCCATTTCTCTCCCTACAGTATTTGACAAAACTTCAAATATTGCTCCTCCGATCTTCATTCCACTACAATAAATGTATGTGTGTAATGGAGGCTGGACAAGGGGAAGAAAAGCAAAAGAACATTTACTAAGTGTCTATGTCAGCACTGTGCAGGAAACTACAGATACTTCATGTCATTTAGCAGCTAGAAGAACCACATTGACAGAATGTATAAAGCATCTTTAATTTTCCTCCTTCTCTGCTGTACCTCCCGAGAAGCGAATAACTTTTGGTAGAGGATTTTTTTTGGCGAGGGGGGAGGGGGCGAAGATTAGCCTTGAGCTAACATCTGCTGCCAATCCTCTTCTTTTTGCTGAGGAAGACTGGCTGTGAGCTAACATCTGTGCCCATCTCCCTCTCCTTTATATGTGGGACACCTGCCACAGCATGGCTTGCAAAGTGGTGAGTTGGTGCACACCTGGGATCCCAACCGGCGAACCCCAGACCGCCGAAGCAGAACATAGGAATTTAACTGCTGTGCCACCAGGCTGGCCCAGCAGAGGATGTTTAATTCAGTTTACTTATTAATTCATTCATTTACTACTTCAATGCTATTATCTATTCAGTTCAAATACCAATGCTAGGTACTCAGAGTGGCATATAAACATACAGAAAGGCATACAGACAAGGTCCTGGCTTCAAGGTGTTCAGCTTCATGGGGTATAAACTTAGAATAAAGAACCATGGCAGCACAGAGGAGAGGGTTTGAGGAGATACGAAAGGCTACAAAGAGAAGATGGCCTTAGAACTAGATGTTGATGGACGAAAAAGATTCACCAAGTAGGAAAGGAGATTCCAGACTGAGGTAAAAATTGTGTGTAATAGCATGGCTGTTGAACAAAATCGTGTGGCATGTTTGAGAAATTGCAAGAGATTTAGTGTAATTTACTAAAAGTTCTGCACTGAGAGTGACGTGTATCTGCTTACAACGGTATCTTGTAGATTACTTTGCAATTTCATGATGAACTCAAAGTAATCATTTGGTATGTAAGCAAAGGTGTGTACTAAGGAAATATAAACATATTACAACATTGAAGTAGAATCAGTGGGGAAGTGATCTGCTGCCAGTTAACTGTCTGACATCAGGCAAGTAAACTTGGTTACTCTAGGTTTTCGTTGCCTCATCTACGAAATAGAGAGTTTGATGTAGGATTTATTCTTTATTTTTCCCACTCTTAAGAAACACAGTTATCCCAAGGACTCGCTCTCAAAATGAAGGAAAAAAGAAAATCAGTAGGTATTTATTGCATCTGCCACAATGAGCTTATAAGCAAACAAAGGAAAAGAGATGTGTATATTCAGTATATATGTGCACAAAACTATTAAAACCGGCTAAGAAGATATTAAGGTGAGATTTGGACTTGAGGGGGAGCAAACTATGCCACCTCAAAAGATGTCACTTTGGCATATTGATTGTTTATTTTTAATTTTTATTTATTTTTTAAATTTTTTTGAAGATTAGTCCTGAGCTACCATCTGCTGCCAATCCTCCTCTTTTTCCTGAGGAAGACTGGCCCTGAGCTAACATCTGTGCCCATCTTCCTCTACTTTATATGCGGGACGCCTACCACAGCATGGCTTGACAAGTGGTGCCATGTCCACACCCGGGATCTAAACCAGCGAACGCCGGATCACAGAAGCGGAACATGCGAACTTAACCGCTGTGCCACCGGGCCGGCCCCTATATTGATTATTTTGAATTAAAGGTACTTAAGAAATAACCAGTGCAAGAAGGACACTCTGACCATCCTTTGTCCCCGTGAAACCAGGAAATAAATCTCCCATGAGAAGATCTGCTCCCTATACGAAGAGTGTTGAAGGCATCCTTATCGCCAGAGTAAAGCCAGAAGACTGTATAAACAAACTGTTACGTCTTCATTAACTTGCTACTGGACGCCCAAACCCCTTTGTTTTGTGGAATTTTCACAAATAATTGCTTCTTTGTCTAAAAGTATAAAAGTTGCCTGCATTGGCTACTTTTTTGAGTCGCATTTTTGGGGCTCCCATACCAACAAAAGTAAATTTATTTTTATAGTAATAATAGTAACAACCCTATATAGCTGTTGTTTGAGAACTCATATCAAATTCATATTGGCAAATGCAATTTGTTCTTTACATAAAGAAAGGTAATAAATGCATTTTCAAGTTATTGAATAGTTAAAAATATTTAATTTGTCAAAACTACCTTTGGAGGTGAATTCTCTGAGGCCAACAGGTGACTATCTGAGGCTCCTACACACAGGTTTCATTTCTTCCCAACACATATTTATGAAGTGTGTGCCAGGCACAGTGCTCAGTGCCAGATGTGTATCAGGGGATGAAATAGACACAGCCCTTGTCCTCATCAAGCTTAGAGTCCAATGGGAGAAACATGGCTAAAAAATAAATGCCGTAATAAATACCTCATGAATGCCTTAAGGAAAAGAATAGCATGCTGTGAGACACAAAAATGGGGAGAATCCAATTTAGGTTAGGCAGCCAGGGAAGTGTAGATCCTGGCTGCTCTTTTCCTTACCAGTTAAATAGACCATATTTAGCTGTCTATCAGGGATTTCTCAGAGTGAAATAATTCTGTAAGCATCCAGGTGATTTAAGTATTATTTCAGGATTTTGGGATCATAAGAGTTATTAAATCTCCATTCTTGGCATGTGAGTCAAAGTCTTTTTCACTCCTCGCACTCCTCTACCACATAAAATAACAACGTAATCTACATGTCATTCCCTTCAGACCTAGATAAGGTTTCCTAAAACCTCCCTCTGTAGAATTCAAAGCTGGTTCCAATCCTTCTGCAAATTCCTTGGGAATTTATAGTCTCTTGGTCACTCCTGGCCCAAACTCCTGCCTTTGTGAATGGATTTAGATTATGAAACATATTGCTTTCTTGTAAGTGTGGTTTCTCTTCCATGTTATACTAATCCAGATGTGAAACTCAGCCTCCTTTATGATGGCCACAGAGCTCCCACTCTCATAGGACATTTGTATGTCTAGAAGACCTTTTTGAAGATTTGAGAGGGGATGGTGTGAAGAAGAAATTTGTATTAGTCAGGATCAGTCAACTGCTATAACAAACAAATCCCTCTTGCACTAATTTGATAACAACAATAAAAGGGTGATTTCTTACTCATATCACAGTCCAATGGAGGTTGACCCATGCAGTCTTTCACAGATCAAGGCTTCTCTCATCTAACGGCTCCAGCATCTTCTGGGGTCATGGAGTCCTCCACCAGATCCTCTGCAACCAGACTACAGGGGAGGGAAGAGTGTGGAGGATAATGTGAGAGTTATCTTGGCCGGACCTGGAGGTGGCCCACGTTCCTTCTGCCCACGTTCCCTTGACTAGAACTATTTAGTAGCTATACCTAACTATAAGGGAGGGTGGAAAACGTAGTCTAGTTTTGAGCCCAGGAAGAAAAGAAAATGGGTTTCGTAGAACACCTAATCTTTCTCTGTTGTAGGATTTATACCACAGCAACACAAAGAATTTAAAATTTAATGTTACATTTCCTAATTTTTAGAAATTCCTTGGCCTTCTCACTACTAGAGATTTTTAATGTAATGCCCAGATTCATGCCGACTCTTCTCTCTCCACTTTATTCCTTCCATACTTTTCTCTCTTTCCCTAACCCAAACTTCCTGTTAATTTTTTCTAAAAAGGGTTTTTAACTTTTTCTTGTTGTCTTGTCTCCCACAGGTTGTGAGGATCTCAGCGTCCATCTAAATGTCCTATCAGACAAAAACAGTTCTTCACTAGAGAATTCTTCACAGGACATCAAATTTGAGGACCTCTGAGACAGATACCATATGACATATTTCTGTACTTCTCAAGCTGAGATAGATGTATTCTTGGGAGTATGAGGCCTTATGCCTGGAAATACACGAAAGCTCAAGATAAAAATAACCTTTTTCTGGCTCAGAACAATTCCCCCAGGGCCCATGTCTGTGCTCTCCCCCACCTTTTGGGGAATTGTTCGTTTGCACTCCATTGCTCTAGTATGCAGTTTAAATCTTCTAAATACGATTGTGCTGTGTGTGTGTATGCACGCACATGTGGGTGTACAGGTGTGTGTTGCATTCCTTCTTTCCTCTTTTATGGTGAAACTGAAATATGGGTCCCCAAATCCTGCCATGTTCTCCACTTGCAGAGAAAAGCAGAAGCAAGAGGCAGAGAGGAAAATTATACTGGCGGTCTCAAGCCCTTGAATCACTCTTTCCGTTGTCTTTTCTGGCTTACATGAGCCAATAGGTGCCTTTCTCTCTCTAAGCTAGCTCAAATATGGTCTGTCACTTACAACCAAAAGAATTCTGATTTATACAATAAACATGGCAATTTTCCTGAAGTCATATTTTATTATCAAATTTGTGCAACTCCTCAACATTATGTTTATTTTAAACCATACATACATATTATTGAATAGAATGCCTGGCTATACCCTAGGTCCCCGGGGCTATACATCATACTACTCCCCACCTTGAGTTGCTTAGGTGGAAACACGGAGGAACACTCACTATTGTTTGGGGCGGGGTCAAGTTACTCCTCGTCCAAGGAGAAACTTTTGCTTGGGGACCTGTAAAATAATGAGCTTTTTTCACACTTTCTAGTTGGATGTATTTTGGGGTGTGGAGCAATAGAAACAGAGATGTGCAATAGAGTAGCAACATCTGAAAAGTCTGCTGAGCCATCTGGCATCAGGAGAATTTGCCCAGCTTGCTTCTTGGAGGTTGTGATAAAATTTATAAATAATTTATAACACAAGGACTGCAAGAGAGGCTTATAGGAAAACTCGGTGCTATCGCAAGCTGTTGGGAACAAGCTGTAAGTCCTCAGCTCCCTCCCCCACTACAAAAAAGTGCCAGTTCTGAATGGAAAGGAAACACTTGTAGCTCCATTTCCTCTCAGGCACAAGCAGCTCTAAAAAAAGAAGCAGTGTGAACAGACCGCCTCAGAAAGAGTTGTAGTTATTGTTTGCAAAGTGATGAGGAAGCAGAACAAGAGTGTTCGAAATAGTTTGAGACTAGGGCAAGCAAAGAGAATTGCAAATTAGAAAACACACTCTAGTGAGACAGAAACATCAGATCTGGTCTCCCTCACTACACAGGGAGATTTTTGTCCTTTGTCCTACAGTTGAAGCTAGCCTTATCTTCCAATCTGAACTTTGCCTACTTCTTGCTTCTTTTCATCTTATACCTGGGAGTTTCCATTTGAATTTTAGCCAGCTTGTTTGAGTAGATAATCAGCCTCGGCAGGATATGGCTTTTTTTTTTTTTTTTTAAAGTGAGATGGAGCACAAGGTTAGCCTCACAATTTATGAGGCTGGTTACCCACATAAACATATGCCTGTGATTTTTATTGTTGTGCGTCGTTGTAAATTTTCACAAATAAAGGGATCCAGGGCTCTAAGAGGAGTCTATGGTCAAATATGTCATTGACTCACATTGGATCTTGGTCAAGTAAGTAAACAAGTGGATCTTGTTTTCTTTTCTATAAAATAGGTATAGAATTTTCTGAAAATAACCAAAATGACTTAATTGTTTAGCATCACTGGATTTATCACATAAAAACTGCTGGGTTGGGGCCAGCCCCATGGCTGAGAGTTTAAGTTCCTGCCCTCTGCTGTGGTGGCCCAGGGTTTTGCCGGTTCAGATCCTGGGCACAGACATGGCACCGCTCATCAGGCCACATTGAGACAGCATCCCACATAGCACAGCTAGAAGGACCCACAACTAGAATAGACAACTATGTACCAGGGGGCGTTGGGGAGAAAAAGGAAAAATAAAATCTTAAAAACAAAAACAAAAACAAACAAACAAAAAAAACTGCTGGGTTTTGGTTTCTGATTTGAGGTTGATTTTTAAAATAAATTGTTAAACATGATATTTTGTGGTAAATTCATAGGTTGCATTCTAATCTCCATCAGTGGAAAGGAATTTCTTGTTAATCTGATTAAAATTAATCTGATTAAGAGATGAAGTACAACATAATTTTAAAGAAGGTTCTAAAGTCACCGCATTTGGCACGGTGATTTCGGTTTGACAAATACCAGTACAAAACCACTGCATAGCCCATGTCCTGTGATCTGTCATGCATGCAGGTTCATACCATACTCCAGGGCATGAGAACTTACTCTCGTACTTCTACTCTGTGGAAATGTCCAAATGCTGTGGTGATAACCAGAGAAATAGTAACAGTAAGTCCGCGGGTCCCAGGTGTCCAAAGTGTAACTTGACTGATTATAGACTAACTAGGTTGTCATGCATAGTCTATGCACTGGTTCCTCAAACAGGTTGCACATTATAAACACACAGAGAGGTTTAAAATGTTCCTAATTTATTTTTAAATTTCAGTACTATAAAATTCATTTTTTGGTGTCAAGTTCTACAAGTTTTGACAAATGCTTGTTTCCACCACTACAATCAAAATGCAGAACCATTTCATCATCCCTCCAAAAATTCCCTTGTGCTATCTCTTTGTACCCAAAACCCATAGCCCCTCCCACCCTTAAACTCTGGAAACCACTAATCTGTTCTCTGTCACCATAGTTTTGTATTTTCCAGATGTCGTATAGATAGAAGACAGTATGGAGAGTGGATTCCTTCACTTTGTGTGGTGCACTGCAGACTCATCCTTATTGCCGTGTATCAAAAGTTTATTCTGGGGCTGGCCCCATCACGCAGTAAGTTAGCGCACTCTGCTTTGGCAGCCCAGGGTTCACCTATTTGAATCCTGGGACCGGACCCACACTGTTCATCAAGCCAGGCTGTGGTGGCATCCTACACAGAAGAACTAGAAGGACTTACAACTAGGATACACAACTATGTACTGGGGCTTTGGGGAGGAAAAAAAAAAAAAGGAAGATTGGCAATAGATGTTAGCTCAGGGCCAATCTTCCTAAAAAAAAAAAAGTTTATTCCTTTTAATTGCTGAGTATTATTCTATTACATAGGTGTATCACAGTCTGTGTACATGTCCTCAATTGAGAGACATTTCAGTTATTCCTAAATTTGGATAGTTATGAATAAATCTGCTATAACCATTCATATGTAGCTCTTTGTGTGGACATATGTTTTCATTTCTTCTGGGTAAAAATCTAGGAATGAGATACCTGGAAAGTTTTGAAAAATATTCCTGTGTCCATTGAATTATAGTCTCTTGGGTGTGGAGCCTTGGAAAATGTGTTTTTTTTTGTGAGGAAGATTGTCCCTGAGCTAACATCTGTTGCCAATCTTCCTCTTTTTGCTTGAGGAAGATTGTTCCTGAGCTAACATCTGTGCCAATCTCCCTCTATTTTGTATATGGGATGCTGCCACAGCATGGCTTGATGAGTGGTGTGTAGGTCCGTGCCTGGGATCCAAACCCACGAAACCCAGGCTGCCAAAACAGAGGGTGTGAACATAACCACTACACCATGAGGCTGGCCCCCAAAAATACACTTTTAAAATGTTCCCCAGGTGTGACCTCTTAATGGATAAGGAGTGTCCTTTTGGGAGATGAAAATGTCTTAGAAACAGATACAGGTGACACATACAACATTGTGACTGTACAAAATGCCATTGAATTGTACACTTTAAAATAGTTAACAGCTGGGGATGGCCTGGTGGCACAGGGTTTGCTGGTTCAGATCCTGGGTGTGGACTCATGCACTGCTTGGCAGGCCATGCTGTGGCAGGAATCCCACATGTAAAGTAGAGGAAGATGGGCATGGATGTTAGTTCAGGGCGTCTTCCTCAGCAAAAAGAGGAGGTTTGGCAGCAGATGTTAGCTCAGGGTTAAGCTTCCTCAAAAAAAAAAAAGTTAATGGCTAATTTTATGTTATATGAATTTTGCCTCAATTAAAAAAAAACAAAAAAAAGTGCTTCCCAGATGATTCTGATGTTTGGAAGTTCTGATCTTGGGAGGCTGTATCGGGGTGTTTTTCATATTCAAGATGTCTACTCTTGTTAGAGGCTGGTCTCAGGAGAATGGACTGGGTCTTGGGTCTGTTTTTCAACTTGTGAATGTGTAACAAACTGAATTTTCTTTAGAAAGTTTGGAGAATCTTAACTTTTAGCGGTTAGAAGGTAAGCCTGTAGCTTATGTGCACTCTTGGAGGTTGCTTCTGGTTTGGATGGACCCAGAATTCTGAGGTCATCAGAATTCTGCTCTGATGAAAGAACTCCAAGGGATCTGCATGGAGCCTGGGTCCAGCTTCTCCTGGAGTGAAGCAGTGTGGCCAAGATCTTTCTCACCAGAGGATTATCAAGGACATTCCAGACCTAGCATCTGTTGAAACAGTCTACAGAATCATTTTGGATGCGTGGGATGGGCTGGCTATCAATTCCTATCCCTCTGGGGTTTTTACTTTTCACCGGCAGAGATACAGCTGCTTATTATAACACTTGGATAGATCAAATCTCATTGCACTGGCACAAGATATTCCATAGAAGACCTTAAATTCATAACCCAGACTATGGCTAAGCCTGCAGATACAAGAAAGGTTAGCCAGACATTCTTTTGAGACAGAGTTGTGAGGTAAAAAGAGCACAGGACAATGATATGAGAAACCTTACTTCTGGACTTATCTCTAAAGACTGCAGCAGAGGCACTAATTGAAGAGAAGCGAGAGAGACAGAGAGTACTCCCCGGGTCTCTGTGGCTGTCCATTTCCCATTCAAATCTTCCTTCAGACTCTGCTGCCCCAGACACTCCTGTATTCGTATACTTCCTGTTTTTGTCTTTTCTGTATCACTTGAACCTCTAGCCACCTTTTACACCAGACGTTCCTCTTACATGAACACCTTCTTCTGGGATTCGTGTGTTCCAGCCACTTTGAGGATGAGGGAATAAGCCAAAGGAAGAAGATGGTTGAGAGTTGGAGCTCAGAGTTGGGCTCTGTCCCTCTGGGTTTTCCTAAGCTGCCACTGCAGTGGGCTGTAGGGAGTCCTTTGGAAAGGCAGGCATCACCCCAAGCCCAGTGTGTCTCAGAGAGGACTGAGTCTTAGAATCCGAAAAGACAGCTTGGACTTCTTATTACTAGCTCTGGAGGACCCTGCCTCAGGCTACCAGGGAGTCTCTTCCCTCCCTTTCCTTGCTCCCTGGAATGGAAGCCTCTTGAGGTAGATTAGTCTCAATACTGTAGAGTTTTTGACAATTGTTTTCTCAACTTGCCTGGCCATCTTTGCCTTTTTCCCATTAGGTTTCATGGGTTGAATCATGAAAGGGCAGAAAGGCAGACAGGATTGCACTTAAAATGAAACAGAGATGGAGGGGTGGCCCCAGAGGAAGGGTATAGTGTATGATGTGGGGGAGGAGAAAAGAGAGGTGAGGTGACCAGAGGTGGCATCACAAGGATGTTACAGGTTAGACCTAAACTGAAGAAGAGATCACTGATTGATTGAACTTGCCACCATCCACCTAGACTGCATGTGAGCAGGAGCAGAAAGAGGAAGTTACAGCCCCACCTTGTATGCCTGCCTTTTCACCTTCCCCTGCTTTCTTGGGCTGACTCAGGGTGGGAGCATTTACTAGAGACTTGGCTGTGGGGCTGAGGCAAACTTGTAGGGGAGATAATCTGCGTGGCTTCCTCTTTATCTCCCTTTCTGGACTTCCTCCCCCAGAACTTGGTGCCTTTACAGACTTCCAGGGTGGAGAGCTCTGTGGCTGTCTACCCCAGCAGGACTTTACGTACCTCATTTCTGACCACTTCTTGTTCCTCGATCTTCCTTTTCCTGTTTCCTATCCTCCCTTTAGGGCTAGCGTGAAATTGGACTTAAGGTGTTATGAATGGCAGAGTCTTCACATGTTTGCCCTCTCTTTGCTTCCAGGTGACATTTTATTCTTTATTCTCTCCCTATTACCTGAAGAGAAGAATAGGACAAGAGTGTGAGGAAACATGATAAGACTGTTGGCACAGATATTTTTTTGGTCAAGGGAATATTTAGATGCATATTACATAGGAAATTGACTTGAATATATTGACTTCAAATTAGATTAAAGGTCAAAATTCCAGAGTATTCTGTGGAAGCACAGGGTTAACATGCTCATCCATCCCTCTGTTCATCCATCCATTTAATAAATAATTCTGGAGCCCTCCTGTGTGCGTAATACTGTGCTATATGAGGCACTGCACTATAGGCAGGGAAGGAGAGGTGAAGAGACATGGATAAAGAAGACAGGGATTTATATCATCTGAGGGAGAATTCGAAAATCTTGGCTGGCACACACAATGAAGCCCCTAAAGAAAACAATACAACCACCTTACAGCCTGTAAGGGAGACCAAGAAAGCACATAATGACATCTTGGCAAATCGTACCTCAGGGCACATTTCCCACAAGACTGTGGTTCCCTGGGTCTGCACCCCTCCTTGGTTGTAATAGTGGCTAGCAGGCCATGTTCTGTCATTAGTAACAGCTCTCTTTGTGGGAAGAGTGGTGTAATTGTGGACAGAATTTCATGCTGAGTTCTATTTATAGCTTCTGATGACTCATTAATATGTTACCTTAGCAAAGGCTAGCTCTGGAGCCAGCTTTCTATTACCTTTCAGTCAAATACATTCCCACTGGAGTATTCTGATGAAATAAATAGCAAATTGTCTATAAAACGCTCCCAGCAATTTGCACATCAGCCTTTTAATTGGTATAATATTAGCCACACTTACACTTAGTATTGCAAACTACAATTGTCAAAGGTACTTGCATCTCTCAGAGCTTACCAACACGTGGATTTTGTGTTAAGGACAAAAGAAGAATTCGCTGGTAGTCTTTGGAAGAGTTTAACCAGCAGTTGATCTGGAAAATATGTTAACCAGCCTTCAAAAGTATTTCCGTTGCCGGAAGTCTTCACGCTCCCTGTGACTATGCCCTTTGTGACATTTCCACACATGTGACCTTCACACTCACTACTTTGATTCCAGCAGAGAAGGCGTGGTCAGGGGTAAGGCTGAGCTTTATAGAGATGTTAAGGTAAGACTTTGAAGCTGCACTACTTTTATCAGTACAGTCTGAAAAACAATCTCTGTGGTTAAGCATGTTAATCCCCCTGTGCTCTCATAGTGGCTTGCTGGAGGTTATAACTACAAGGGCTGGAGCGTGAGTGTGAGATAACCTAGACCAGAGCTCCGTCCCTGAAATGAGTTCAAAGGAGCTGCTTACCTCTGCATTTTAGCAGAATCTCATAATCAGATATTATTCTCTGCTTTGTGAAAAATACAGCATATAACAAAGACTATCAAAGGCAAGTGCTAGCAAGGCTTTGAAGCAACTGGAACTTTCATATATTGCTGATGGAAATGCAAAATGGTACAGTCGCTTTGGAAAACAATTTGACAGTTTCTTATAAAGTTAAGCATACACTTAGTGTATAACATCATAATCTCACCCCCAGGTATTTATTCAAGGAAAATGAAAACACATATTCCCGGCAGGGAGCAGAGCGTGAAGTGGGAACAGAGTATTCAGGCAGAGGAAACAGCAACTCTGAGAGTGTAACAAGTCAGAGGAACCGAGCATATGGAACATGGAGGGCTGGTAGAGGCAACAAAATGAGGTTGGAGACAGCCAGTGCTGGGCTCTGTGGGCCATGGGGAGCATTTTGGTCTTCATTCTGAGATTGATGAGAGACTATCAAAATGTGTTAAGCAAGAGAATGACATAATCAGATATGACCTTTTAAAAAGAGCTGTCTAGCTGCAGTGCAGAGAATGGACTGGAGGGAGGCAAATATGACTGTGGGGAGGCGGTTGAATTGTCTGGGAGAAATCACGATGTGCCTTGAGTTGGGGTTGTGGCCTTAGAGATGTTCTCTTTTGTCCCCCCCAAAATCCCTGAATTGGTTTGCACTGATGTCTTTTGTATAGTAATAGTTCTAATAGAAACAAGAATGACTAACTGCTTCCTTTAAAATTTGTTTGTTATAAAATACTCCATATATAAAAAAGAATTTATGCAACATTAAGGTAAATTATAGAACATAATAAAAAGTATGTGAACTCGTTTCCCTATTTCAGAACTAGAACATTATGATCATGAAAACCTTCTTAAACAAGACTTTGCTCAATTTTAAAAAGGGATTGAAAACTCTCCTTGGAATGCAGTGATATCAGGACTTTCTAACAATTAGAGCTTTTAAGCAATAGAAGAGGCTGCCTCAGGAGGCTGCGGGAGGCCAAGCTGCAGTCTGTGTAAGAATGTGGATGAAGGATTCCCAGGAGGGCAGGAAGGTTGGGTGGATGTCTGCAAAGTTGCCAATCCTAAAATCCTCTGCCACGATGCAACAAAGAGAATAAATATATGTTAAGAGCAAAATTTTCAAGGGGCATTTAAAAACGTGAAGTGTTTGTTTCTTACAGTTAATTGTGGAATTGTAGCTACTTTTTTGACAAGTCCTTTGATTTTTGGAACAAATAAGATGGAACCATGTGCATATATATATTCACATATATAGCAATATATGTGGCTGAAGTGGTTTAAGTTCTTGAGCCCCAGAAGGAGTGGGTTAGGAGCAGGATGGGAAACAGTTACAACAGCTCTATTTTCTATTCTGTTGCAGAGGTTTTGGGCTAAATGCTGCTTGTTTTTATGTGACCCAAGTGCTAAGAATGGTTTTTACATTTTGTCTGATTGATTGAACTTTTAAATTTGAGATAATTGTAGAATAACATGCAGTTATAAGAAGTAATACAGGAAAAAGTATCTAAATTGGATTCATCAAAATTAAAAACTTTTGTGCATCAAAGGACTCTATCAGGAGAATGAAAAGGCAACCCACAGAATTGGAGAAAATATTTGCAAATCATGTATATAAGGGATTAAATCTAGAATACATAAAGGATTCTTACAACTCAACAACAAAAGAACAAATAACCCTATTAAAAAATGGGCAAAGGATTTGAATAGATGTTTCTCCAAAGAAGATATAAAAATGGACAATAAGCACACGAAGATATGCTCACTGTCAATAATCAGTAGGGGAATGCAAATCAAAACCACAATGAGATACACTTGACATTCATTAGGATGGCTATTAAAAATCAGGAAAACAAAACAAATTAGAAAATAACAAGTGTTGTCAATGGTGCAGAGAAATTGGAACCCTTGGGCACCACTGGGGATGTAGAATAGTACAACCGCTGTGGAAAACATTATGATGGCTCTTCAAAAAGTTAAGAACAGAATTACCACATGATCCAGCAATTCCACTTCTAGGTATAAATCCAAAAGAATTGAAAGCACAGACTTGAACATATAGTTGTACACTCACATTCCTAGCAGCGCTATTCACAATAGTCAAAGGTGGGAACAACACAAATGTCCATGAGTGGATGAAAAGACAAACAAAATGTGGTACATACAAACAATAAAACATTATTCAGCCTTAGAAAGGAATGGAATTCTGATGCATGCTACAATGTGGATGAACCTTGAAAACATTATACTAAGAGAAATAAACCCCAGACACAAAGAGAGATATTGTATGATTCCTCTTATATGAGGTATCTGGAATGATCAAATTCATAGAGACTGAAAAGAGGTTGTGGGAAGGGAGGAATGAGGAGTTATTTTTTAATGATACAGAGTTTCATTTTGGAAAGCTGGAGAAGTTCTGAAGATGGATAGTGGTGATGGTTGCACAACATTGTAATGTACTCAAAGCCACTAAATTGTGAACTTAAAATTGGTTAAAATGATAAATTTTATGTTATGTATATTTTACCACAACTAAAAAAAAAGTAATACAGAGAGATCCTGTGTTCTCCCCAGTTTCCTCCAATGGTGGAAAGAAAGCTTCATATTTTGTGAGACTTTAAATCAGTTTAAATCATGAGTACAGATGTATTTGTACCAGCAGTTAATCAGCAGAGAAACAAGTCTTTATTGAGCACCTACTATGTGCCAGGTGATGGAGATATAGCAGTTAATTAAACAGAAAAACCACCAGCCACCATGCAGCTTAGATTTTAGAAGCAGATTCAATGTGTTAATGTCTAATGTGCCCGTTTTCTACAGAGTGAATGTTTGTGTACCTTCCAAATTCATATGTTAAATCCTAATCCCCAATGTGAGGGTATTTGGAGGTGGCACTTTTGGGAGGTGATTAGGTCATGAGGGTGGAGCCCTCATGATGAGATTAGTGCCCTTATAAAACACACTCCAGAGAGCTCCCTTGCCCCTTCTGCCACATGAGGACACAGAGAAGATGGCTGTCTATGAACCAGGAAATGAGCTCTCACCAGACACTGAATCAGCCAACACCTTCATCTTGGACTTCCCAGCCTCCAGAACTGTGAGAAACAAATTTTTGTTGTTTTTAAGTCACCCAGTCTCTGGTACTTTGTTGCAGTGGCCCTAAGTGACTAAGACACCACTCAGTGTCTCCTTCCATCTGGGTCTTAAAGAAAGTATTTTTGATTGTTGACTTTCCTTTCTTAAGTGACATAACTCAGTAGTAGTCATCTCCATTTGTGGGTGGAAAGAAAGCACTGAGATCAATTTGGTTCATGCAGAATCTCAAATTTACCCACAGCTAACCTACCCCCTCTTTTTAGGAATAGGAGAAAAAGTCTGAGAAAGGTAACTCTGATTCAAATGGGGAAAAGAGATCACTGGTATCAATGAGAGGGCTTCTAGGAGAGTGAAGTTTGGGGGTGGGGATGCTACAAGAGGGCAGTCTGGGGCCTGACTACTTACATAATAGGGGCAGTTGGGGCAAAAGGAAATTAGAGCTAGAAATTTGGGGTAATGGTGAGCGTCTCCTCTTTAGACTCTCTTCTCATTCTGACCTGGATCTGAACTCCTGAGTGATTTGAAGTTTGAGATGGGGGCTATTAAGGTCAGACTAGTCTAGAGGAAGACTGACCTG